GAGGAGGTTCTTGGGATGTCAAGGAGGTTCTTGGGACATTGGGGAGGTTCTGGGGACATCGAGGAGGTTCTTGGGATGTCAAGGAGGTTCTTGGGACATTGGGAACATCAGGGAGGTTCTCGGGACGTCAAGGAGGTTCGTGGGACATTGAGGAGGTTCTTGGGATGTCAAGGAGGTTCTTGGGACATTGGGGACAGCGAGGAGGTTCTCGGGACATCAGGGAGGTTCTTGGGACATTGGGGACATCGAGGAGGTTCTTGGGACATCGAGGAGGTTCTTGGGATGTCAAGGAGGTTGTTGGGATGTCAAGAAGGTTCATGGGACATCAGGGAGGTTCATGGGACATCAGGGAGGTTCTTGGGATGTCAAGGAGGTTCTTGGGGCATTGGGGACATCGAGGAGGTTCTTGGGACATCAAGGAGGTTTTTGGGACGCTGGGGACATCGAGGAGGTTCTAGGGACATCTGGGGGCGCTAGGGAGGTTGGGGACATCATTAAAGTTCTTGGGACATAAAAGAGGTTCTGGGGGTGGTGGGAGGCGATTAGAGAGATTGAGGGCGTCTAGGGGTGCTGGGGACATCAAGGAGGTTCTTGGGATGTCAAGGAGGTTCATAGGATATCAAAGAGGTTCTGGGGACATCAGAGAGGTTCTTGGGATGTTGGGAAGCATTTGGGGAGCTTGAGGGCATCTAGGGGGTGCTGGGAACATCAGGGAGGTTCATGAGACATCAAGGAGGTTCTTGGGACATCAAGGAGGTTTTAGGGACATCAGGGAGGTTCTTGAGATGTCAAAGAGGTTCTTGGGACATTGGGGACATCAAGGAGGGGGCGCTGGGGACCTCAGGGAGGTTCTTGGGATGTCAAGAAGTTTTTGGGGACTTTGGGGACATCAAGGCGGTGCTTGGGACATCAGGGATGTCCAGGGGGCGCTGGGGACATCAGGGAGGTTCTTGGGATGTCACGGATGTTCATGGGCCGTTGGGGAGGTGCTGCTGAGGTTGGGGACATCAAGGAGGTTCTTGGGACTCCGTGGTTCTCCTGGCCACCCCAAGGCCAACATTGAGGCTCTCCAGGGCCTAATTGACCCCACTGAGGTTCTCCAGGGCCTCATTGACCCCATTGA